GCAGGGTGATCAGAAAACCAGGATGAACTGGAATTTGTCTTCAAGTTATCCGTTCTTGTGGGTATAAAGGGATTAATGACTCAGTGCTGGCATTAGGAATAATTATATCTGGCTTAGCTGGACAGGGTGTCTAATATTAGCAATAGACCAATACATATATTCTGAATACAGCTTGAGCTATTGAACATGTAATGTAAATTTCTGTACAGTATTGTTTTAGCTGTGATGATCTAAAGACAATGGTTGGTGCACATGCATACTAGTAAATAATATGTGGACAGACAGATTGCTAGTTAGGTAGTTAGATACACCTCTCCATCTGCAACACTGGACTATTTAATTACTTTTCCTTCTTTATTGATTCAATATGATAGCTAAACTGCAATATTTGCTTTTCAAAAACTGTCCTCAAACAATTTAATAAAAAGAGTTTAACTCGCACTTTATACGAGAAAGGCATTTCCTTTAGATTAAGTCTCTTTTCATGTTTACATAACAAGTCATTAATGTGAGACTGCTCCACTGATGCCTTGTACCACTGTGGTAGTTTAAGAAAATGCTCAACTGTGAGAAGAGCTTACAGGTGTTGGCAACACCATGACGTGTACAGCCTGTCCTGGTTTGTTAAATGTGTGTCTCAGACAATTTGGGGCTACATATCTGTATTCATTTCTGTCTTATGGCTTAGTCATTAATATCCTGCCTAGAGAAGGTGTCAAAGGGCTTGAGGACATGGTATAGTGGGTATGGTAGTGTTGGGTTGATGGTTGGACTAGATTTTCTTATAGGTCTTTTCCAACTTCAGTGGTTAGGTGATTCTGTGAAAAGAAACCATTGAAAAATTAAATTTTGTGTGTAAACCCATATGAGTAACCCTTTCTACCCTCTTGGCATTTAAAAAAATGACTCACATTGAGTTAATATTTATAGAGTTTCCCTCTTGGAGAGAATGAGTCTGATCTGGTTAGAGATGTGAGCGGGCACAAGGAAAGCAGCAGGGAACTCTGATTTTTGAAGTACAGGGGAATATATGAGATGTTGTATATCCAGCGTTATTCTGGGACTCAAGATCCCGCTTCCCCACCAAATACGCATTGTTGCATTTGGCTGTCATCACCTTACACATGCAATGCAGTTGCAACTTCTCTTGTAGACATATTGCTGGGTTAGCAGCTGAAAAGCAAATCTTCCCTGGGTAATTCACATGTGTCAGAACATTCCATGTCTATGTACTGCTCTTACTGTCTCCCATCTACCCTGAGTGTGTCTTGCAGAAGGACTTAGATATCACAGGAAGATGGGAAGAGCGATTCTAACTGCTCCCAGTGAAGTTGGCGTCTATACCGCCCTGTTTCACCTGGGGAAGGGGGAGATGCACAGTCCATGAGAAACTGGGAGGAGCTGGTGTGAACTGAGTATTTAATAATAAACAAGCACAGTGCCTGCTTTTTTTATTATTTTTATGCCTACAGTACTCATACACATTCAGTGCGGTGAGATTGCTGCCTAAGGCTGCCCCCAAAGAGCTGCAGGAACAGACGCCCATTGAACTCGTGCTGGTTCTGTTGCATGTCTTAATGAAGCTTTAAAATGCTTGAAATTGTCTTTGAAATGAAATATTCCATAGCTGCAAGCTAACGGCATACTTTGTAATAATTGCTTAGCCAAATAAAGGAAAACTGTGAGGAACAAAGAAAAATTAGATTGATGGCTAGAAGAAAATGATTAAATAAAAAATTCATGAAGAAGAGAAATTAAAAAAAAGGCATAGCATCATAAAGTTTTGCACAAAGACTTCCCTTCCAATGGGAGTTTTTCTTCTCCAGCTGTTACTGTGCCTTTTATTCTTGTTTGCTACAAATACTAGAAAACTTTTTCTGTGGGAATAATGGGGAAGATGGTCACAAATTTATGCAGCAGCTGGGACAGAATAAAATCTAAAAGCAGAGGTATGCATTTCACTGTCATTCTGAGTGGGTGTATGGTGCACTGTAAATAATTAATGATTTGGCTGGAATTGCCTTTTTTTTTTTTAAAGTCTTAAATCATCTGTGACTAAACAGAAACCCCAGAAAGACTTCTGTTCATAATTATCAGCCCAACTTGTACACTTAGAGCCCATCCTCATTCAAATTTACTGCTCTTAGTGGCCATTAGTAACACAAAGTGAGAAATTTGCTGTGAATAAATTCACTCCTGCTTAGCCTTTCTCTTTGTTTGCAAGTTAAGACCAGCAAATCATTATTTGTCAGCATGTATTAATGTCCAAAAATATCTGAGAAGTGTGCAGTTGTTTGTTTTGAACAAGTTGTTTTTGAAGAATCAGTACACCCTCAGGTTTTGTGTCCTTGCTATGGCATGAAAAAACATTCTGGAATGATTTTAAATTACAGTGCCTTTAGGAAGAACATACGGAAGACAGTTACAGTGAACAGTAGGACTTCAGGGAAATACCTACAACCTAGTGAAGGCATTTTAAAATACAAATATTATTGTAAAGTCTTTAGGTGATGACTGGTAATAGATATTTAATCTAGCAAAAGCACTTTCATTGCTTATTTGTTAAAGTAATTTAATGGATGAGTGATGCTATTAATGGACCACATGTAGAATCCAGGCTTTTTTTGTTCAAACAATTCCTTCAGGGTTTAAATATCTGAACAAGTTCAGGGGCAATTTGAAGAGATCCAGCCTATATACAGGCTGTAGGAATCATTTGTGAACATTTCTTCTTCTTAGCATTTCCTCTGTATTTAGAAGAAAACACATACTTATGAGTGACTTGGCGTGATACACCTTGTTTTGAGAAGGTTGTTAGAAGCCAGAGACTGAACAGATAAATGTATGGTTGAGCATGCAGAGAGAAAGAGATAACTCACAAGGTTTTTTTAAGCTGTTTATCTGAACCAACATACAATTTTAATGTTTCCTTCATGAATATTTTACTGAGATAAGTGTGTTAGTAATATCTGTAGCATAGTTCTTGTAAAATAATTTAAGCAAAAAAGCAAAACCCTCAAATCGCAGCAAAACCAGCATTTCTTCCCACCCCAGGCACTTTGGGATGCTGGGAGAATTGAAGACACACACCTAGAAAACAGATGATCAATAATAAAAATGAACGTGTAAATTGGTATTTTAACACCAGTTAGTATGATAAAGTCACGCTATTTTGATCACTTGAAAAAGTTCATTTATAAGCATTGGGGTCTTGTTTCAGCTAGTACTCGATTTCTTTTCTGAACACATGACTATGTGTTGCTGAAACTCAGATGTCACCTCTACAGAATAGAAAATTTGGGAAATAATCTGTTATAAATGTCTTTTTGACCTCATGAGGATCACTGCATAGTCACGTAGTTCAGTGAAGAATTGAAATGTGGTTGTTTACTCCAACATCAGCTGTTTCCAAATAAACGTTTGTGAAACCTCCAACTTCAATCGCTACATTGTATCCTCCAAAAGATGTTCAACAGAATGAATAGATGATCTTTGAGCTAGAAAACAAGCTGTTCACAGTATCTTCTCATTTACTGAGACAAAATATTCTTTTTGTGCAGAGATAATACTTTCCACCATTTTTAACAATGTTGGTGAAATATAAAGAATTTAATTGTTTTGTTTCTGAATGCAAGGGGGTTTAGCTGTGCGTCTTCAGACCAGGCAGGTCTCTTTCCAGACCAGCTGTGTTAAATGCATTGATGCAGCTAGATCTATTTTTTTTTTTTTTTTAAGACAATGAAGGTATTTTGAATCCCATGCTGACAAAGTGGCTTGTCATTAGCTATGAATCCATGTGATATCCACATGATATCTTTGAACAAAATACAGATGAATTCTTATTGCCATCCTGCACCACAGCTGTGGGGTCAAATATTTACCGACAAGGAGGTCCAAGGCAGTTGTAACTGAAATTGGTCTAAATTTATTGTGAAATTGCCATCCTGGCATGAAAAAGCTGCTGGGATGGTCCCAGTTGCACGCATGTACACAAGCAGTAGCTTGGACTGGAAGAGATCACTGATAATGAGAAAATCAGGATAAGGACATCAGGGCTTAGCCTTACCTTATTCATGTGAGGCATGGTTCAGCCCCTAGTCTTTACATTTGTAAAACCACCACTTTAATCACAACTGGATCATTGGTACTAACTAGCAACAGCTAGTTATACTGGTGAAGTATTTCTTGCACTGCAATATAACCAGAATTACTTCTGTTATTCTTCAGCTTCTGTCCATGTTCCTGTTTTTATCTGATAAAGCAGGTGGTGCAAACCTGTTTTCTTGTTAAAGGAAACAGTATATTTGCTGGAATTCAAAGAAATGTAGTGATGTTGTGAACAGGAACTCCTCAGATCTTCAGGAAAATCATAGCATTTGGGGTAGAAGACAACAACAACAAAAAACCCCAAACACAACATTTTTAATTTGGGGTTAGAAAGAAGAATATTCTCCTGCCTTTTTGCAGAAAACTAATGATTTTGTTCTTTCTGAACCAAATACAAATTCATTCCCAGATGACACATCACATATGAGTAGTTTACTAAAATTGGGAGCAAATTGGTTTAAGAATTATATAATAATTTCAGTTGGAAGGGATCTGTGAAGGCATCTGGTCCAACCCCTGCTCGAAGCAGGTCCAGTAAGACCAGGATGCTTGGGGCTTTGCCCAGGCAAGCACTGAGTATACGTGACGTTGGAGATTCTGCCATCTGTCTAGGATGATTGTCCCAGTGGATCACTCTCCTCACAGGAGGGGGAAAAAAGAAAAGTCCTATGTATCTACACAAATTTTCCCTTGTTACAAACTGTGATGGTTGCCTCTTGTCATTTTGCTGCACACTTCTGGGAAGTATGTCTTGGTCTTACCTCTGCTCTGCCATGGGGTTGTTGAGGACCACCACAGTATCACCCCTGAGCCCTCTCATCCTAGAGCAAACCCAGTCCTTTCAGCATCCTTGCTGCATAAAGGTTTGGAAAAAATCCTAAAGCTAGAGTATCATGGGAATGAGGAATGAGCAAGTTACACTGGGATCCAAACTGGCAGTGCCGTTCATCCTGACAACCCGCGGTGCTACAACTGCATTGGGTAGAGATGGTTTGTCAGCAGGTAACGTCAGCCCGTTTTTGTATGGTAGAAACCAGGCAGGGGAATGTCAGAAGCAGGAAAAAAAATCAATAAAGTAATTAAATAAACCTTAGAGAAAACTTCCTCAGCACTTGCAGTGATGCCCACAAGACTAAGCAGCTAGAGATTTGAATATATTTATTTCATGGTTCTCAACTGCTGTGTGTAGATTTTAATCACATGGCAATAACAGTTTTCTCTCTCTATTACTAAAACAGTATCTTCTGTATTTCCAGAACAACTTAGCTGGTGGAACAGAGCCATCCAGGGTGGTTGGTGTTCATGCTAAGGACTCTCTCCTACTGATACCTGAACTGAGTCTTACTTTGTGCATATTCGTGCTTGTTGGCTCTTTGAGAACTGAGGATGTGCTTGGTAAATAATGGATCTGATCTCTGCAGTGGTGACATATTGTTCACTGTTGGAAACTTAAGCTTTGATGTATTCTGTGTGCTTTGGACCTTTTTTGAGGCGGTCCTGCTGTGCACACTAACAGGAGTAAATACTTTCTTTCTGCTCTCAGTAATGTGTTGTACCTTGGACTTTTTTGTCTTTCTCTGCAGAAACTCTCCTGGATGACTTCCTTCTCACGTACACAGTCTTCATGACAACTGATGACTTGTGCCAGGCACTTCTGAGGCAATATCCTTTAATTAAGTGTTGTATTAAAGGGGGGTCACACACTTAGACCTATGCTATATATTGTCAAGCCTTATATGAGAGTAGTAAATTGCATGCCTGGGATAATTAGTTTTGCTCTTTGCATATTGATGTTATCAAAATACAGCCCTGCATGGTTATTTTGAGGTTGCATGTAAAAATGGGGAGAAAAGAGAACAGTTGTCTAATATCTGTCATGCTTAAAAGGTGAACTGCACCTAGGGTTTTGGCATCACACCCCAAGAATAAGTAGGAGAAACTTCAGAAGAGGGCAGTGAGAATTATCAGAATGAACTGTTCAAACTGGAAACATAAAAACCAATTTTGTTTATGAGTTCCCCTTATTGGCACATTCCTGTAAACAGAGAGATAGACATTTAGGATTTGCATAGGTGAGGCCTCAGTAAACAAAAAATTCCTGCTCTGAAGTTGAATGTACAAAGCTAAAGCTGCCTCTGAGTAAGCCCGTATCCAGAACACACACGTTTGTGTATGTGCATACGCACTTCGGAAGAACGCTTGAGAGGTGGATTGAAACAGATGCCTAAATCATGGCAGCAATGCCATCTTATGTCTGCTGCTTTTGTTTAAAGACACATAAACCTTTATAACTGTTAGAAAACAGTATTTAACATGGGGTTAAAACCTATCTAGACCTAGGTTTTAAGGGAGACCTTATAGCACCTTCCAGTACCTGAAGGGGTCCTACAAGGAAGCTGGGAGAGGATTTTTTACAAGGGCCTGTAGTGACAGGACAAGGGGTAATGGGTTTAAATTGAAAGTGGGGAGGTTTAGATTAGATATCAGGAAGAAGTTCTTCATGGAGAGGGTGGTGAGGCACTGGAACAGGTTGCCCAGAGAAGCTGTGGATGCCCCATCCCTGGATGTCCTCAAGGCCAGGCTGGATGAGGCTTTGAGCAACCTGGTCTAGTGGAAGGTGTCCCTGCCCATGGCAGGGGGGGTGGAACTAGATGACCTTTAAGGTCCCTTCCAACCCCAACCATTCTGTGATTCTATATGTTAATTCTTAGAATACCTGTACCTGTGTAATACTTTTCAGAATATGTGAAGAGTAAAAAAATTGAAGAATAAGTGTTTTATGGTCTCTGCTCCTTCTATCATGTGATACAGTCTATAATTCTTAACGCATTCTGAGGTGAAAGAAATTTTTTCTTGTATTTCCAATTACATCCATAATCTATGGAGCATTGTTTGAATGAACTGCAGCTCTAAAATGAACTTGGTGTTTTGGTTTTTTTTCTTTTCTTTTTTTTGCTCCTTACCCTTTGTGATGAAAACATCATCTTTGCACCTAATCAAAGAAATAGCGAAAGGACAGGAACAGTGTACAAAGTGGGTATCTTCTCTCATTTGGTGCTTCTGCTCTGTGAATAGGGAACAATGGGGGAAATAGATTCTTTCACCTTCTTTTTTATTTTAATAGTGTTATTTCTGCAGATAGTGTAATTTGTGCAGGGAAAAAGAAACTGACTTCCTCTGCCTGGTTTTTTTGTTGTTGTTAATGATGCATTGTCCTCATTCCCACAGACATTCATGTTGGCATCAGCGTGCGGGACAAAGGTTCATTCCCAGTTCTGCAGAAAATATATGACTCAACATTGTATAATTCCTTTTGAATTGATTTTACTTTTATAGACTCGCCTTTCTAATCTATAAAGGGAAAAGAAATGTTGTTGGCACAGGGGATGAACTGACATTTCTATTACTGAGCATTTAATTCCAAAAAGTTAATGAAACTCCTAAAGCTCCAGACAGGATAAAGTACTTAATAAAACTGAGCAGTGTAGTGAAAAAATCTTTCATTAGCAAATGAGGTGATTGCAAAGTCTTTTCTACCACTTATAGTTTAGGTTTCAGTGAGACCTTAGTATTTGTTCCTTAACTTACTGCACCTATTGTGCCAAGAACCACCAAGGGAAGGAAGACGACTCAGATGTGTCCTGTAGGAAAAGAAAAGTCTTGCATTTGGTGTCTCAGTGGACTTCTCTCTACAAAGACTGGTTACATGAAGATGAGCATTTAAAACAATTTTTAAAGGTATTGAAACAATTTCTGATGCATTTCAACACTGTTTAATTATCAGACTGTGTCTGAAAAGCCCTGGTAGCAAAATCTATAAAGCATAATTTTTCATACTTACATTTTCTCCAGGAAATCTATTAATATAAAATGATTTACACGTGTTTTCCTTTAATGCCTTAGAGATAGACAGTTTGAACAGAAAAAGTAAAGTCAATACATTCCAGGTCAAAAATATTAGTTTCAGATATGAAACTTAAAAAACTCCATGCTGTCTAGAAAATGGGAAAATCTAAGAAGGTAAGAAAACTACAAAGACATGGAGGTTCCTTGGACACACTGTTTGTATGTGTCGGAACAGGGTCCACAGTCACAATCCAGAGGAGCACAGACGAAGAGAGTTTTGTGGTCCTTGTAAGAGATGCTACTTTGAGGAGTGAAAGGCTATTCCAGAGAATGAATAGCAGGCAAATGATCCTTATATTCTTGGAAAGGAATGAGAAGGATCTATGTGCAGATTCCAAAAAGGTACAAAATATTTCCCTATAATTTCAATGACAAGAGCCCATTTGGTTTATTTAACTCTTACCTGAGGTAGTATTTTTTACATTTAATTTGAGGTTCCTGATTGATGAGATTCAGACAATGCGTAGTAATAGGGTTTGTTTATTTATTTATTTATTGGTTTACAACCAGGAGTAGGTTGTTATTTGTTTGTGAGAGACATCAGCTTCATGTAAAATGCATGTAAACATGAAGAAAAGTGAAGAAGACCATTCTCTAATTTATAAGACTTAATCAAATGAACCCGTTTGTTATCATTTTGGGTAAGTGTGTGTTCTCATGCTTCTGAATGTGTTCTTCTGACCTGACCTAGATTTCATGTAACAGCCACAAGTGTTGTGTTAAATCTTCCCAACTGTAGATGAATCAGTGTCAACATTTTGCACTCCCTCTTGATGGTGATAAAAAGAGTATTTCTCCAAAGGCAAGCTGAATATTGGCCAGTTGGGAAATTTAAACAGGAACATTTTCTCCTTATGGGTCTTGCATAAATACAATAATGAAATTTGTTTTAGTAGACTAGTGCCTGAATTGATTTAGACTGCTGATGTGATGCCTTAGACTTATATTTGAGTTATCAGATGATTGCAGACACTGTTTTATTTTGTAGACGATATACAGGAATGTGTTAGATGATGTGTACGAATATCCCATTCTTGAGAAGGACCTGAAAGAATTTCAGAAGATACTTGGGATGCATCGTCGTCAGTAAGCATTGATTATATTTGTGTTCAAGTCTCCTTTTATTTAAAGCATAGTTTATTTTTGTTGTCATCTTGCTGTAATTCAGTAAAGCTGAAGTGTTGAGTGATACAAGTATTATATTCATTTTTACAAATCATCTCTTCTTTAAACTAAAGCTAGATTATTCAATCTTCTCTGATATTTGTTGGGTAGTGTGTGTGGTTCAACAGTCATTCCCATCAATCCTGGTTGGGATGACTTGTAAGTAGAGCAAAATACTTTGTAGTAAAGCTGGCAAAATTTTCCTCAGAAGCTGCAGTCCATGACTTCAGATGGTACCTTCGTTCTCATTCTCTCTCTGAAATCTGCAGTGCTGAGAGGCAAATTTCTTTTGCAATAGTTGTTTCAGGGTTATTATTTTACTAATAATTATGGTATTAGTAAAAGATATTTCCTTGGCATGTTTTTCCAAAAAATGGAGTTTGTTTCCGTGGTTTGGCTGTCAGGGAAGTGGAAGGAATTGTGTCCCTGAGGGTGACCCTGAGTGTTTACTCCAGGGGCCCGAGCTGTATCAGTGTTCTCTGGCAGCTCGCAGGCTGGCAGCATTGCTTTTCACTACATCGATTGTGCAAGTCACAGAGAAGTTTTCGGCTGAGCTAGATGCCCTTAGCTTTCCCTGAAAGAGCTATGCAGCCATTCTGCAGTGACCATATAATGTTAAAACCTTTTTAATAGCTAAAACTTCCTTTTCCTTGTCTTTGGATGGAAAGAATAATTTGGATTTTCCTTTTTGTTTCAGCACTGTAGATGAATATTCACCTCACCGAAAGGTAATGCAAACCTGGTTTCTGGTTGCTAGATAACTTATCTCACTTTCTTCCCACCTGCCTGCTTCACACTCCTTTCTTGGCTTCTCAATTGAAAGTGACTGATGGCCAAAAACATGACAGGATACATCAGTGAGTTTAGGCCTGTAACATTGTTTTAGGAATTCTTTTTCCCTGCCCATACAGCCTGGGTGTTAGCTGCGTGACCTAATCTGCGGTAGCTGTGACAGTATTAGCATCTTACCAAGACACTCCAAGAGTCAGAATTCAGGAGAGGCCTGGTAATGTGTCTCCACCAGACTGGAGAGATGTAGGAACCTGGTCAAACCAGGCTGAGCACAGGCGTTGTCTACGGATGTCAAATAGACAGAGCAAAGGGGGAATTTGTTCTGGCAAGGACAGAGAAAGAAAGAGAGGAACATAAATCTGTCTTTAACTGGAGGGAGAAGATGCAGCTGGAGAAAGTTGTCATACAGACTGCACAGAGGTGAATTGCTGTGCTCATCGAATTTATTAGGCTGAAGCTGAAGTGTGTAATAAGCTTAAAATGTTACTGCAGAAATATGGAAGGCCAAGCATGAGATTGTAGTGAAACTGCTAAATAGGCTGATTGGTACATAGGAGGCGTATATAAGTGTATAAGAAATGGGCTCTGAACATGACTACAGAAAACCTTGAATTGTGCAGGCTGCTTAGCCTGGGCGTGTCCTGCTTCCTCCACAATCCCACCTTGGCCATTAGTAAGGCAACTCCCAGTTTACTGATCCAAGAATGGGTGGGTGGATTTCCTATGCAGAAACCTTTTTGGCCAGACATATGGGCTGAATGCTGTGTTCTGTGAATTACTGCTTTGTAAGGG